TAGTTTCTTATGTAGCCTTTGCCTTGTTTTCTCACCGCTCACTCACTGTGTGTTTATGAAACAAAGAGAAAATGAAACGCTTCTCCAACAATGAAGCTGTTACTTTGGCCACATACCAACCCCTCTTGCCACTATTGCATTCCAGCAGAAATAGCACCAACCAAGCTATATGGGAGCTATTTATACCTACAGAGGAGCGTACACCATTTGACCCCCACAAAAGAAGAACAAGTATTTTGGCTTGGTTTTTTTTTCTATAATGGTGTCATTTATCACTATGACACGTATTCATTGACTTAGCCTGCATTTTTTCAGTGTCAGATTTATAATTCTTTTCTGGTTTGAATATTGATGCAGCACTTCCCTTACGTGACTGTACTGTGTCTGCCAAATGGTGTCTAGACGCTAGAGCAGCTTTGACTAATTAGTGTAGTCACCCCAGTCACTCAGCTTTGGCATTTATGTACTCTTGATGTTACTGCTGTTGAGCCGTAAATAGGTGCCTAAATACAAGCAGTAATGTAAAGAGAGGTGGCAGTGATCATGTCCAGGCTTCACCTAACATCACCAAGGTGAGTGCAGGGTACAGCAGCCATCATTCCCTGCGTCCATGGTTAGGGCACATAGTTATAACCACTCGCTTGGACATGACAGCATACGTGTGTGGAGTCAGCGGGAGATCCGGCTTCAATGTCTGTCTTGGTCTCAAGATCACCAATGCAAAGGCAAGTCTAAGAGAGATTTCTCTCTCTCGAGGCTCAGCCACTGTGTACCAGCAAATGAAGATGCATACAGCCAGAGAGAAATCAACATCTGCTAGTCCAGCGGTAGGGGTACTTCTTAGGGAGGACTCATATGGCTGGTTTGTAGAGTTGCTTTCCAATAGGCTGTGCTTTACACCAGATCCAAAACTAAAAATGCAGTTTTAGAAATTTTCTGCAACTTCATAATTTGTGTCATGCTTTTAAATATTACACCAGTACTGAAGGTGAGTTGACCAACTTTAGAGAGGGAGAACTGATAAATATCAAAGATAACTTCAGAACATCAAAGAAGTTTTACAAAACCTTGAGAATAAAATATAGTGAAAACCTAATCAATGTTGCCTACGCCACAGGGTGTGCTAATATAAAATTAAATTGCCTCAAAAATTATATGCAGATTAAACACAATACTGCTATTAACAAAGCTTATTTGTAAGCAAAATTTGAAAGTTTTGATTTATCCTGCTGAGTATTTGAAGAACCACTATCAAAAGGAAAACAAATTAACTGTGTTTTCTTTGTATTTTTAACTGTTACAAATGATTTTACTGGTGCTAATACAACGCATTAGAGAATAGTGAGTTTGGGATTTTTTTCTCTTCTTCTCGGAAAGACTGTTTGTGGTTTGAGCAGATTTTCTTTGAATTTGCCAATAGGATTATTCTTATTTTTTCAGTTAGTGGTATACAAAATATTTAAAGTAAGCTTTCCAGAGGATCTGCAGTTTACTTTGAGGAGATTTTCCAGGGCTAAGATAAGATTCATTTAATTTATGGGGGTTTTGCCCTACAAAGAGAAGATTTTTTCTTTTCTTCCTGGGAAGATTTCTGGGTAGTTCTCTTCAGTTCCTTTTTTTTTTTTTTTTTTTTTTTTTATGCAAGGGAAAGGAAAAAATCATTAATGCTGCTGTGCACAGAGAGGATTTGTGATTCTTCAACAGAAAAAGAAATTAATAGTTCCTTTTAAATGTGGTCCTGCTGCATGTTGTGTACAATCAATATAAAACTGCCTGGCTAACGAGCCATCTGTCAAATAGATACATATATGTACATTGCACATGTTAAATTGTGCACTCTTGAAGGCATTCATGTTGCGAGCTCTGTTTGTTCTCTAGATTACCAAACTGCTCATTCATGGGTTAGACACTTACCCACAAGTTTACTACCTACAAGTTGCTTCCAGCTGAAGGAACACTAAGTTAACATATGTTTTATAGGGCTGCTATCATCTGATTGGTCTTTTTCAGCATCCCTGAAAGGATTGTCTCTTTCACCCAAACAGTTCTTGATATCATGTGTAATACTTTAGGGTAAATGATTCTTTGGTTCCTAATGAGGCTAATTTGTCTCTCTCAAGAAATAGCAGTACCACTGTTTTGGTATTGCTGGTGAGCACACTTTCATCAGTGCCAGTCTACTGGAAATGTTTGGGGCTAGATCTTCAGTGAGTGTTAATCAGCGGATCTTCGCTGAAAATAATGGAGTTTGTCTCTGTTTTTATTGGCTGGCCTTAACTTTATCTCCAGTGCAAATGAATCCACATAAATTCCAGGCATAGTTAACAGCTCAGGACAGAGTGAGAACTTTGATAGTATGAAGTTTAGGTGACTCACTAGGGAGTAGGATATGATCATGTCCAGTAATACTTGGACCAGAGCTATCTCAACTTTACATGGCTTATGAAAACTTAAATGTGCAGCATTGTCAGATCATTACTTTTTATGACCACAAAAATTCTTCAGAAATTAACATAGAAATCAAGCTATATGCAAAAGGGACCAGCAGAGCAATTTTTAGCCTCCTTTAGGGTTTACAACAAATAATTTCTTTAAGCAGACTGCGTAGTAAATGACTGGTGTTATTCCATAGTTATCAGTCCTTAAAAACATTTAGAGATGAGGAATGTATTAAATGATCTCTGGACCAATGCACCTAATAATCTAAGGGAGAACTGCACATTTAAGAATGATGAAATGATAGCAAGAAATGTTTTCAGGATTATCAAGATGCTGATCGTATAATTGCATCTCCGAAAAGATTTATTTGTGGTCACATAAATAATGAAGATTAAATCTGAGGAGCTACTTTGTTTTAGAAGCGTAAAAATACTGCACATACAGCAGGCTTGCTCTTTCTATCACAGCAAAGGTTTTTCATACTAGATAAATGTCATAGGCTTTCTTCTGTCCTAAACCAAACTTCATCCAGGTATTAGTAGAATTTGTAAAAACCTTAGAAACTATCTACTGTCTTTGTTCCCGATTGCTTAGAAGGCTGGATCTGAGTCACTATCTTGATTATTGGCTTGAGAGAGGAATCACTGCAGTGTCATAGGGTTTCCTTGCCCAGATTTTCTTCACAGTGCTGCTATTTATCTCTTCTCATGCCTTGGAATCCATTTCTTCTCACCCTTTCCCCTGGTATGTACAGTATATATTTACCAGCAAAGTAGAGATTTTATGGAAATTTAGAAATTTACATATACATATAGGGCATCTGGAAGGATTGTTAGAAAGCTTGACTTTTTAAAGCTATTGTAGGCAACTGGGTCCATCTCAAGGTTAAATGGTTAAATAAGGGAAGGGAGGGAATGAGAAACTCACAGTTGACAGTGGTTTAAAGGCAACCATGGGTTTGCTGGTGTCAGTACAGTTAGTGAGGGATGGGACTGAAAAGAGGTCATGAGAATAGCTCAGATAAATTCAGGTACGGTTTGTACACAGTCTATTTATAGGATGTTTTCTCAAACTAAGCCTGTGTACCTTTTGAAGTTTGCCCATCGCTACTTTCAGGCCAATTAATGATGTGCATCCAATCCCATTCTGAGATAGGTAAAACAATAAAGGAAACAAAGATAATTAGTCTCTGGAGCATGTAAACAAATAAACTAAATCACTTGCAAATCACTTGTTTCTGCTAACTTTTGTGTTTTCATTGCAAAGCTGAAAAAGAGCATTTATATTGCAAATCTACATAATGCTAGAGCAGTGCTGAAAATGCATAGATTATACTATTCTGTTTTTGAGAGGGCTTTGCAAAGATTAGGCACCTGATCCTGAAGCATCACTGTGAGTTGTTGTACGCAAAAGAACATTTTCATCCCTTTTTCACAGAAGAGAAGAACCGAAGTAGGGAGGTTAAATGATTTTGTTAATGGAGATAAAGGTCTAAATGACACTTTATAAATAAACAAAAATCACTACTCCAAGTTTACAAGTCTAAGTGAAAGCACTAGTGGAGCTGAGGAGAGCAGGCCAAGATGGGCAGGAGAGTGGCTGTAGGATGTGGGACCTTGACCCCACCTCAGTGATGCCTCTCAAATTTTATAGACCTGAATGGGAGCTTTATGCGGCCTTTAAAGTGGAAATAACCAGAAGAATTCCTGAGTGCTAGTCCTTTTTGGTTTTTGTTTTGTTTTCCAGCATAGTAGTAATCTGTTAATTGCAATACAGCTTCACTCCTAGTCTTAAAGCACTTTCTGCACGTAAGCAGTGCTCTCCCCTTCTTGGAAATGGGGTAACAGGTAAGGGAAGATAATGCGTCCATTCAGCAGCAGAACTCGATGCAGAGCACACATTCCCTTCTTCTCAGCCCTGGGCTCAATACTGTAGACTTTGGATAAATGCACATTTTAAAAGAGCAAATAGTACCGTGGCACTGGGGGACTGTGGAAACCATGCTGCCTGGATCTGCCTGCTGCCCCAGTTCAGCCAGCTGCTTCTGCAGGCCAGTCCAGAGCAGGGGAAGCCCATTTTCTGGACACTCAGGGCAGTATCAAAGCAGGTACTGCCTCAAGTCATGTAGTAAGAGGACTCTGTGAGCCCAAACATACGGTTTTGTGCAATCAATAAAACAGCAGAAACTGTGTTCTGAATTTCTAGAGTGACAGATCCCAGTTAGAGTTCAGATCCAGGCAAAATGACTGCTCATGATAAAATCGCTCTTTGTCTTTTTTCTTTTTTGGCATGAAAATGCAGGGCATTTCTTTTAGTAAAGAGCAGGCATTTCCTTGTTATTCTGTCCCTTTTTACTGTTTTCTGACACTTTTTTGTTCTGACTTAAAAAAAGGATTGTGGAGAGAGATACATCTTAGAAAGAAACTCTCATCATCCAAAATGTGTCCAGTATGCATTTAAGTTAAAGAATATTAAGCCTTGTCCAAAAATAAAAAGAGTGTAAAAGGTAAGAATGCCTTCAGGCTTGATTTTAAAGATACACATTTTTCTTCATGTTGCAGATCTCGCCTTGCAGATTTCTTCACAAACTGCCAGCCTGAGTCACGGTCTGTTAGTAGCTGTCTGAAGGAGAACTATGCTGACTGCCTCCTCGCTTACTCGGGGCTTATTGGTAAGAAGTCAGGGAAAGGTGGGGGCTTGCTCGGTCTACGAAAAACACCCAAACTATATTTTGAAGGCCCACACGAAATAAAAACTGTGGACTATGATACTGTGCAATATGATACTGGTCAAAATTCTCTGCTTAAGGGTACTGGCCCTGTTCTACCTTACAGAAATTCCTGGGGTAAATTTGTCCGTCGTAAGGAAATTAAGAATAGAAGAGAAGGACAGAAAGGTGCTTGAATTTGAAAAAAATTCAAGCGTACAAAGTAAAGCTTATTAAGAGGGTTGAATTTGGACAGGACCGTGAAGTAGGAAGTTAAAAAGAACTGCAGCTTGGTTGGTTTTGGAGCTGTTGTCACAAGGTTGGGTAAATACCTCTTGGTCTTCGGGGAAAGTTTGCAGGACATTTGAGGAATGAGGCAATAGACCAACCTAGCCTTGTTTCACTTCCTGCTACTGTTCTTTCCAGGGTGTCCTTCTGTCCACTCTAAATGTTTTCTGAGATGCCTGTCAGTGGGGGTGAACTCAGACCAAATTTATCTTCTGAAATCCTCTTCCCTCCCCACAGAATTAATTTTCTTTGCTGCCACCTTACTGACCGTCAGCAGGCATAAGGATGCCTTTATGCAAGCCAGATTCCATGTACCACACACGGTATTTGATTCCTGAAAGAGATCATCTCAGGAAGGTGAACTTGTAGAAAAACCGTGGTTAAGCAATAAAGAATAAGTGAATGTCAAAACTCTGAAACAAACAATTTTTAAAGGCCACCAGATAAGATGGTTTTAAGCTTGCAGCCTGCACCTGCTGCAATGCAGTAATATCCCCTTCTGTTGGGTGTGAAGGTCCCAGCTGAGGCCCTGAAGCTAATCCTGTTGTTAAATAAATGTCTCTGGAGATAATATCCAAAATAAAATATTTCTAAAATAGGTTGGTTTTGCTGAAAAATGACTGAAAGTTATATTCACTGGCTTATTGTTACAATTCTTATTACTCTAGCACCTAACAAGCGAGGTAAGTCCATGTGGCAACTGGTAAAATAAGATGTGATGGTTTCAAAGGATGTGGTTCTACGACTTAAAAGATTAATACAGTATGCAAAGGGTATAACATATGAACAGTTATGACAGAATGTCATTTGACTCTAAAACAAAGAATTGAATAGCCTTGAAATCTGATCTAGTCAATGAGATTAAGAAATCTAGCTGCTGGCTAGGAGTAACTGTTACTAATAGATACTTCTGGGTAAGAGCTGCCAAGAAGTTCTTGCTGGACCTAGTGAATTTTGCTGGCAGTTTTGTTGGATCCATTTTTCAGTTTAACCCCAAGGATGACCCAGTTCCTATAGTCAGGTGGTTTTGTGTTACTGTGGATGACCATGATGCAAAACACTCAGACATCAGAAATGTGGAATGGATCCCTAAGGAGTTGAAATCAAAAGGAGATCTAATTTTCAAAGGGAAGAATAAACATTTTTCATCCTTCCTGCCAGCCCCTAGACACATGTGAAAAGACAGGAACCGACTAGTGTTATGGGAGTTTTTACTTGGTAGTAATTCCGATAAACCAAGAAAATTACCAACACAAAACTTTGATGTGCTGAAGCTCGATATCAGAAGCTGATATAAAAGTTGAACAAATTATGTGAAGACCATCAAATTTATAAGACACTGAGACAGAAATCATAGGTATGATCTCTCAAATGTCTGCTTTTAATATATATAACACAGGAAGAAGAGATAGATAGGCTGTGGGTAAGAAGCTGTTACAGGTCCATTCATTCATCAGAGCTTCAGGATCTCCAGGTGTTTTAATTAAGATAAAATATTGTTCATTAAAATAAAATATTATTTCATTTAGACATTTCATTAAATATAGCAAAAAATTGCACATTCATAGAGTTCGTTCAGGAAATTGAGGATTCTCTGTGGAAGATACAGTGGATGTGATTCTGCTGTCACATGCAAAGATGTAAATCAGAGTTAACTTCACTGAAATTAGGGAAACCCCACCTGAAATGAATGACTTAAGTGGAAATAGCCAGGCACGTTTTTTGTATGAGGTGCTTTACCAGTTAAATGGAGAACAGTCTATGTTGTGTGCTTTAAGGTTTGCATCAGGGTGTAATATATATAATTTTAGAGATGTGTATTTTACGGGAATTTTGAAAATCTTAATTCATCACTTTAGGCTCCTTGTAGTAATAGAGATAAAATAATTTTTTTTAAAAAAATAAAGGAAAAATATAAAAGTTATTAAATATAGAGTAAGACTGGAGAGATAGCTGTGTTTCAGATTCAGTGCTTTGGTTACAGCCTGGTTAAGCCATCTGTACCTGTCTGCACTCCCACATCATAGGTATTGCTCTAACTGCTGGCTTCAAGATCTCCTTTAGCATTCACTTTCTGACATATTTTCCCTTGTCTTCAGTAAAATCTATCTAATTTCCCTGTGAATAAGCTGGGGTTGCTTTGGGCCAAAGCAACTTCAGCCACATGCCCCTCCTCCTGAACTCACCATGCAGCTCCTCCTTCTTAATTGACCCAAATTTGAGCAACTCTTGGCTGCGTTCAGGTCAATTCTGCTTTTGTCTAAAATATGGAGACCTGGCAGCCTATTATTGACACCGTAACAAAACTTTTTGATACACAGAACACAGAAAACCAAGCATGTCCTATTTTACTGCCAACCACCATGGTTTCCCTGATCCGTTAGTGTCCTTCAGCAGAATTTCCAAGATGCCAGCTAGCGAGGAGGAGGGGGGAAGGGAAGGGGAAGGCACACACATCGCAGGGAAAAAAGAAAATCCACCCCAGGAAACCAAGCATATAATCCGCTTGGGTTCACATCTGCCCCCAGGTTTAAATGACAGACTGATTTTCTACTAGCTGCTCTTTCAGCCACTCTGTTTTTGCTGGATGTACAGTTTGTGTGCTGTGTATACACATTCCTTGTCCTGTCTTTCCTGTCTTCATCAACCCTAATCGTACCTTGGTGTCTGTTACACTTCTAGCCCCTGTCTTGACTTATTTTAATTACCTTATCACCTCTTTGTGGAGAAAGTCTTACCTCAGTGACCTTTTTAATTTCCTCGATACCTTTCTGGTTTTTTAAACCTTCACTAAGCATTTGCTACTTAGCCTTTTTATTTATTTATTTTGAAGCTTACTGTTTTCTTTCCATTTGAAAAATCCTCTTGATTTTCGTTTTCTCTCACTTCTTTTCAGATCATGTCACATGGTTGAAATAGTGTACTGAGCCATCAGACAGCTAATGGACAGATATTTTTGTCTTTTTTATTTTATTTTAACATCATTCCTCTTCGTCTTTATCTACTATCAAGTTTTCATTAATGGTGCAAATGATATTTGCCTATTTTATTACCCTCTCTACCTCTATTTAATGTATTTTGAACTGTACTATTTACTCATGTGCTAACCTCATGTAGAATTAGAGCAATTACTACTGCAACTGTCTGTTAAAAGCTGGAAGCAGATAAAGGTCTGGGATTGCATTCTAATTTAAGAACATCCCAAAACAAAATAAAAGATGGTTTCTGTGAGTTTGGCAGTGGGACTGCATTTGTTTTCACATACATTACTGCCTTTCTCAGGCCATCCCTTAATGTCTGTTCTCCTTTGTCTCCCATGTCATGTATGAAGCAGTTTGCATGTTGATTTGTTCAGTTCCCAGTGCTGTCTGGTGACTGAAAGTCTATTTGACATCATTCTGTGATTTGTGTTATTTCTAATGTTCCTTTTTTTAGCTTGGTGTTTGATAGCCCTTTTCTGTGTGTTATGGCAGACTCTTGGACCTGGGACCTGTGGACTAAATTTTCTCTGCTAGTATACAGTTTGGGCCTCTGATACTTATCCTTCATCTATTCCATCTTCTTAATGACTACTTTGATGTCAGTTTTGAGGAGATGTGATCACATTTCCTTATGATATACAGCCTGTCCTAGAACTGTAGATTGCCAAGTGAGGAACGTATTTCTTGAAACAGCTTTCATCAGTACACGTCTGGAATACCTGCCCCTTTTTATATTTACTTTTTCCTGTTTGGCCAAGCAACTAAAATAAAGGTTCAAACTTCTCGATCCTTAGGGAATTTTGAAATCTCTGACCTGCTGGGGCAATGCCTTCAGCGAGACTACTTGTTTGAATAAGTTGCTGATCATATAACAGTTGCCTGATCCAGATGAGTGATGAACAGTTGCTGTATATCTTTTAGGACATAAAATGCATTATTTGGTTTCATTTCATTCTTGGTAGCCTTGAGTTGACATATAAATGTGAGAGTTTTTACCCAAGAATTTGTAACAGAGTTAGAATGAACCTGTGATTGCAAGTTTTTGACAATGTTTAGGAAACAATCAGTGTACTGAAAAAGTAGTGACCCAGCAAGATTAATAGTGATTTATTACCTGCAAAGAATCTACTGTACTGTTTCATGCATACTGTTTATGTTTTTGCTTTGTTCATTGCCATAACCCACTCTGTTGGCAAGTACCTAATGAGCACCACGGTAGGTTAACACTTCTCCAAGATGTATTAGGGCTCCTTTCAGCATGACTAGCATTCTCCTTGCTCCTGTGTTTCAGAAGTGTTTTTTTCAGACTGGCTGCAGACTCAAGGAGGAAGCTCAGGTCTGGAAGTCTATTTTCAGCCATTTATTTGCAGCTAGAATAAAAATGAGAAAAAAACACAAGCGAGGAACAAAAATTGGATTTTTAGAGTGCAACTGTAAGGACACAGGTCAATTTATGTTTGATTTGGCAGCAAAACCCTTTTAAGAGGTTCCCACCTTCTCCCACTCCATCCCTCCCCTGTGCCACAGTTTTCCACCTGTCAGTTCTGCTGATGCAGCTCTCTGTGGGAATGCGATATAAAACTTTCTGGAGGAAGGGAATGGGTCTACTTGCAGGAGTAATTTTACAGTCCCTAAAGTGGTTGCATTCAAATAGCTGAGGGTGTGAAGTACAACACATGGCTGGGTGTCAGAGGACAAAGGGAGCTAGGAACTGTTTAGTCTGGAAGTTAGAGCCCTGCCATGGGTCTGCATTGTGAATCCAGCTCTGAATACATGACTTACCAAGTGCTGTTTGCTGTCTTCTTCGTATGGAAAGTATTTTTCAGTACAAAGGTTGCTCACAGTACTGTACTTTACTCTTTGTTAATAGGCACAGTGATGACACCGAACTACATAGACTCAAATAGTCTCAGCGTTGCCCCGTGGTGTGACTGCAGCAACAGTGGTAACGATATAGATGAATGCCTGAAATTTCTGAATTTCTTCCAGGACAATACATGCCTTAGTGAGTACAAAATTAGATATCTTTAAATGCGTTTTAGCATGTTTTCTGGAATAACTTTACCATTTAATACATTATGATATGCATGTTTCTGCTGTAGGTGTAAGAATTAAACAAACAAGCAAATATGCCTGATACTATGGTTTATGGCCAAGATTGCAAACATGAGAAGCTCTTGGGAAAAAATTCAAATAACAAAGCTGTATCATATAGAAATATGTTTACATCACAGATCATATTCAGACTCTAACAGGCAGCATCTGTACCAAAAAATTACAACACCTGAGGGGCTTCTGTATAATTTAAGAACTTCATATAAAAAAGACATGTAGTTTATGATATGAAGGATTTGCTGTAGGTAAGTATAAATTGGATTGTGCTTGCACTTTATAGCCAAGTTTCAGGTTTTTTTAGGCTACTTGATCTCAGGTAGCTGTTTTTAATGCAAGTCTGGACAGTACCTATGTTAAAGATTTTGTTAAATTATTGATTTTTTTTTATTTTTCCAGTCAAACTCACTTCCAAATTAGGGACTATTATAAATTTCAGAATGGCTCAGTGGAGCCGATTTTGGCAGGTTCTCCTTTCAAATTTCCTGTCTGCCTGGAGCAGCATAATTGGATGATGTGGAGTGTGCATCAGAGTTTTAATTTCAGATAAATGAGGAGACCAAAAGAGCTTGGCTTCCCTAGACTAGCAGAACAGAAGTTGAAAGGATGCGTGATTGTCCTGAAATTGCATTAGAGGGGTAAGCCCAGGGAGGGAAAAGAGTTACTTAACTTAGAGGACAATGTTGGCACAAGATCAAAAGGGAGATATTTGCCATATATATTTAGGCTCAAAATTGGAAAATTTTAAGCCATTAGACTAAAGTTAAGAAATAGGCCTCCATGAGGAGTTTTGAGGGTAACATTTCATCTAGGTTTTAGAAGTCATATTTCATCAGCTTATAAAAAGAAGCATACTTTGTTGCTTTTTTCAAAAACAGCAAATTAGCTTGGTGATTCAGACTGTCCCATCCAGCCCTAATACTTGAGCTAATGCTAATGCAGGGTTTGGTCTGTATTTTAGTATAGGGTCTGAGAATCTTTATTGGTAGCTTCTCAACAGGCAGCATTGTTTTGAAGACATGGGGAGCTTTGCGTACAAAAAGTGAATGCTTTGAGTTGCTATTTGATACACTATTTATTAGGGTTTGGAAGAATGAATCAATCACTCAAGATCAAAAAAAACCACCAGAAAACAATTCAGACTATGACTGCGTAAAGATTAACAATATAGCATCAGACCATCTTCAAACCTAATGGACTTCCATTTATATATACTGTAATACATCAGATTTTATTCATTTGTGAGTATATTAATTGCTAGAATGTTACAGGTTCCTTTTAGAAGATAGAATGATCCCTTGTCCATTCTGCTTTTGATATAAAAGCATTAATGAAGACAAATCAAAGACATTAGAGGTTATTGTGAGAAAAATTGTAGTCATCCAAGCTGTAAGACATGTCTTCTTCATGAAGAAATGAAAGATGTTTCTGGTTTAATGTGAAGTTTTCTCTCTTACAGAGAATGGGAAAAGTTCCTATTATTTTAATTGTTATTATCATTAATGGGCCTTCCAGTGCCTGGAGAAAATGTCATCTGTTTATTGGATGAGTTTAGAATCCCTTGCACTTTTTTTAGACAACCCAAAAATTGCTTTTCCACAGTGGGATGAAACTAGGAATTTCTTGCTAGTCTGTTTTGCTGAAGTATACTTCCTCTTCCAACTAGAAAATAATGAATGAAGAAAATAAGGAAAAATGGTGCATTTACAGAAGATGTGGAAAACCGAGCTTAAATGTTTATTCAAAACCCCAACAAAATTTAGTTATTTATGCAAAGTGGAATAGCTGAGAGTGTAACCTGAGGGCTAGGGGACTCAGAAAGCAGGAGATTTAGACCCACATTCATACTGTGCCTGATGTGCATCTGGAATATGAAGTTGAGTTTACCATGTACCACATACACACCTGAAATCCTGGTCTTTCTTTCATCTCTGTGTGCACTTGCCTAGAAGTTCCACTCTAGAGTTGAAAAGCCTTTTGCAACAGATACTAAGATGAAACCAAAGTGGAAGTTTTTATTTTGAAAGGTGGGTGTGAAAATTCCAGGCTGTTTTAATAATTAGTCCCAATAAAGACAAACATTGCCTTGTTTTATTTTTACAAAAATCTCAGCATTGTCATGCAGAATATGGCTTTATATCACAACTTGAAATTGGCCCAATCTCAAGAAAGCTAAAAATTCAAATTAATAGGCCTCAAATAAAATATGTTCCACCCTAAAATATGGGACTGTATATTACCTTGCTTGTACTTTTTTCCTTTTTGTTGGAAGATGTAAGTTTATTGGTAATATTACAGTGGTCCTAATTGCTGCCTCTCCAGTTAGGGTTTGGCCAATCATAAATTCTGGAAATCCATCTTAAGACTCTATTTAAGCTACTGTGAAAGTGAATGTCCTGACATTCATTTATATACTCTAGAATTCCTACCAAACTGAATGGGATTCAGTATATCTACCCATCTGTTCAAGGGATTTGTTCACACCTGCCTTATACGGCAGTAAAAAGGATTGGCAAGTGGCAGGAAAAGCATAAAGCAGTGAGTTAGGTAATAAAAATTATTGAAGGGACCTTTACTGGAGCAGTTAGACACTTGAAGCACCTCCATGCAGTCATTATGTTCTTTGACATACATTCGAAATATGTATGAAAATTATATATGTAAATTGCATATTTAAAATGAAATGTATATGTTTGAAATATTACAAAAATATGAGGGACCACCTCTACTATGAGGAAAGGTTGGGGTGGTTTAGCCTGAAAGAAGGCTCGGGGAAGACCTTGTTGTGGCCTTCCAACACTTAAAGGGGTTTTATAAGAAAGATGGGGACTGATTTTTTTAGTAGGGCTTGTAGTGCTAAAACAAAGGGTAATGGTTTTGAACTAAAAGAGGGGAGATTCGGACTAGATATGATATGAGGGTGGTGAAGCACTGGAACAGGCTGCCCAGAGAGGTGGTAGAAGCCCCATCCCTGGAAAAATTCAAGGTCAGGTTGGATGGGGCTATGAGCAACCTGCTCTAGTTGAAGATATGCCTGCCCATGGCAGGGGGGTTGGAACTAGATGATCTTTAAAGATCCCTTCCAACCCAAACCGTTCTGTGATTATATAATGGAGTCATAGAATATCTTGAGTTGGAAGGGACCCGTAAGGATCATTGACTATGATTCTGTGAAATAATTAAAGAAGGCTAATTGTAAAGACCACTTTTACTTAGAAAACAAAGGATTGCATGTATTTCTGTGATCCTTCTGGCAATAATGGAAACAAAGAGTTTAGGAAATCATAGGAAAATAATGCTTTATATATTGCCTTATTCAGGTAAAACCAAGAAAATACCATTTCACTCTTCCCATTTTACTCCAGCAACGCAGCTGATTGTGGTGCCTTTTACAAATTCTTCTCTTTAGAGTTTTAAGAAGTAATATCAGAATAAAATGCATCTTTTCAGATGAGAATTAAATGTAAATTATTTTATAAGGCAAGGAATGCCACTGAGAAGAAGTATTAATAACTTCCACATATTAGTGCCCAGTAAAATTGTTTGATTTCTTGTACAAAGTATTTGAAATACGAAATCCCTAAATCCATGTTGAATCCCCAAAGACCTGATTAAAAACTGTTTTTCTATTTGTTTATAAAAAACCTCAACCAATTTACTCTTGCCATAAACACATTCTTTAATCCCATGAAACTGTGATAAGCTTTTTAACTTTTATATTCTAAAGTTTTAGTTTAAGCATGCTTCCCTCACCTAATTATGCAGATTTTGATTGAAAACTGTAAGGAAAAGATTGTCTTAGTTAAACCATTTTGTAGTTATAGGCATATTAGTTTTACTACAGCAAGCTGTAGAAATAAATTAATATTTTGCCTGCTCTGTTTTTAGTTTGCTAAGTAATGTTACCTGCCTGAATTAGGGTATAACATTCAACCTGTATTTTAAATCTTGAAAGTAAAATTTTGAGGCTTTTGGATGGTAACAAATATGATTACAGTAGGAGAGCTTCTGTCAGGAATCACTGGGAACATTGCAAAGAAGAGGCTGTACCAAATAGTTCTGTGACCCCCGACTCTCAGTTCATGTTTCAGATGTGTTCAAAATTAAGACCCATTTTTCAGCATAAAAATGTAGTTTCTATAAATACACATTTTCAATGGAATAATAATAATGATGATGATGATTAACAAGTCACTTCTGCTTTCTGCCACTTTTTTAGAAATAGAAAATTGCCTGTAATTTATTTTTACAGAAAATGCAATTCAGGCCTTCGGCAATGGCACTGATGTGAATGTGTGGCAGCCAATCTTACCAGTGCAGACCACTACAGCCACAACTACAACAGCTTCCAGGCTTAAAAACACAGGTTCAGAGACCACCAACAATGAAATACCCACCCACAACGATTCACCAGCATGTGCAAACCTGCAGGTAAGAGAGTCTTGTACTTGTTGCAGTGCATAAATGAAGGTTTTTCATAGATCTGTATACAGAGTAGTCTCCTCCTGTATAAACGGATGCCTGCTTAAATTGGAATATCTGTTTATTCCCATGTTGTAGTTAAAGCCGGGTATATTGTAAAGTATCAGACACTTATTTTAAATATCAGACACTTATTTTAAATCAGAAACATGCGTATTTCAAAGTGGACTTTATTGCCCCTCTGACTCAGAAACAGGGCATAGTATTTGTTATTACAGGTTTGGATATGAATGTGGCACTCCAAACCTTGCCATGATATGTCAGATTAAATTAATCACCTGAATAATACAAATTCAGAGGCAAATCTTAATATCAGCTAGCATGTCCTGCTGCCCTCTTTCTTATGTTATTGCCTGTAAACTTAAGAGGTTTTTTGGCTGAGTAGGTCTGGATGTTAGAGGTGATGTGTTGCTTCAAACTACATGATGAAGAAGCTGGACAAAGATAGAAGCTACTTTGAATCGGGCATTTTCCTGAACTGGGGTCAAGGTTGTGATGTGATTTTGGCCAATGGCTATAGCGATTTTCTTTGACACTTAAATTAGGCTATCCGTGGTGCATTGTTGATTCTGGATTTAGAAGAGGCTCATCACTTGCTGAAGGCAGTATATACAGCTCTTAAAAAGTTTTAAGAACTTGGGCAGGAGACAACTGCAAAATGAAGGCAGGAAAGAGGTTACAGGAAACATAAACTGAAAATGTCCTTAGGCCAGATTAGAATCTTGAGTTATAAAAATTTCTGGTGGTTTAAATGCAAAATTAGGTCAGAGATAAATCAGCTTGGCCTGTTTATTTTTGTCTTTACAGAAGGAAAATTGCTATGTGACATAAATGAAAGTGTCCAAGTTTTAAGGCCTCATCTGGTATTAAGATACTTTTTCTTTCTGGATTCCCAAACTCTTCCACACTTGTAGCATTCACGTTTCACTTGCTTATAAAAAAATGATTTTGTATTCTTCATTTTAAACTGTATCAAAGTTTCTGTATTCACCAAAATGGACAGTTAGTATCCCTTAGAATTGTATTTTGCTTCTTAATTTTTCCTGCGTCACACTCTCGCCTTCATCCTTTCTAGTTTCTCCATTTATTTTGCGCTGGCAAAGTGCATATGAATTAACATTTTTCAGAGGCATTACAGAGTCACAGAGTATATGGGGTTAATGGTAGACGGTGTTGAGTTTATGTCCTTCTGTTTTAATTCTATTTTTCATTATTAGTTAAGCTTTGTAAGTTATTGATGAGAGAGAGATAGTTGTAGGCATGTATTTCTATATGCAGTAATTATTTGACCAAATAGAGTATGATAAAAAGAAATGTAACCTTTTAAACCTGAAACTTGGAATATCTTGCATTTAAAGCCAGACCTCAATGAGATATTACTAATTCGCTTCACGTTGTATTAAAAATTTGTTTCATGGGAGAGATCACATTTTCTGTCAGTGTTTTTACAGTCCCCTGTAGGGTAAGGCCTCCGGATGCTACCAAAGTACACTTGATAAATAATGAACTGAAGAAATGGCAAGTGATCAACAAATCCCATTGGATTCGGTTTGATTTGCAGATGTTCCTCAAGCCTGAATAGTGTTTTGAAACTTCTGTTACTCTGGCATATTGAAGTCACATCCCACATAGGTTTATCAGCACTGGTTTAAAGCTATCTTATGACTACAAGTGTACCCTGATATACTTGATGTAAGAAGAAAAGGTCTTTAGGGAAAACAGCTTCCTTTACATAAGTGATCTCTGCTGTTTTGTAGAAACTATAGATAAGTATGCACTAAAAGGTCACTGAAGTTATGTGAATCAAGCAGTTTTATTCTTGTGAAGTGCAGCATTCTGGTGCTCCCTACTTCCTTGTGTCAGAACTGAAACGCAAAGAGCAAATCTCTTATATTTTAATGCATTTTTCAAAAAAATAGGATACAAATAGAGCCAAAACAAGCCCACACTTTTTAGAAAAGAAACCTGTGTTTGTTGGACAGTATGGTGCCACTTTGCATGTGAGACTGAAACCTCAATGCAAATTTCACAAAAGAACTGGAGGCATTCATATCACACTTGGAGAAGTGCATTCATTCCAAGGCTCTCCTCCCATGAAAAATATGCCTTTGTAGTATTTTCAAAACATAAACTAGTGCGACCAAAAGCAATCTGAAGGCCTTTGTTATATGCTTAGCAGTTGAGCTGAAAGGTTTCAAAGAGGCAGTATAGCCTAAACACTGTGAAAAGTAGAATTAAAAGCATTAGTCTCCACACAAAAAGGCAATGGCAGAGAGGGGGTAAGGAAGTGATCATGGAGGTGCTACAAGGCTGCATATCCTAGTTAGTGCATTTAAAAATACAGCGAAGAAAGAGCAGGATGTGATTGATTAGTATAAATTGCCATAGAAATGAACAAATACCAACCTCCTGGGGTTGTAAAATATAGGGCACTAACCTAATCTGCCAAGAGTGTCACTGCTGAGCAATTTTTGATACATTTTTTTTTTCTGACTTGTTCAGAATGGTTCTGTGAAAAGCAAGAATACACTAATGGTTTTGCTGCTGCGCCATGTTCTCCTGCACATGGGCAAACCTGGGATTCAGAAGGGTTATGAATGCTTAAAGAAAATAGGAGATACTCTTTGTTTACTCAGTTTTTATTTCAAACACCTGTTGAAGGTTTAGACTTCTAAATAAATTTTTTCAGTGATTTTGTTGAGAAATTATTCTTTGTTTCAACTTAGCATTTCTACAAGACTTTACAGTTGTTCTATTATAGTGGTATTTTCTTACTCAAATTCATATAGAAAAATGTTGATTTCTGATATATGCTTTTATGTTTACATATGCATAGATTTGTGTAATATATTCTTTTTTTTCTATTCCTAAATTAAATCACCACTCCATCTTTGCCAGGAAGATGCTCAACTTTGTCAAACACCCTATAAACTCTTTTATAAACCTGGCTTCTAACAAAGACTGCTAAACACAGAGGGTAAAAAGTGGTTAGTTTTATATAAAATGCTAAATTCAAGTATTTTTTGAGGTGCTTGACATTATGCAAAGGATCCTCAGTACCACATAAAAATAATTTATGAAATATTGTGAACAAAAGGAAGATGAAAGCCAACTGTGTGCTTCTTATACAGGCATATTTTATTAAGTAATTACCATCCTTATCTTCATTCTAACATTTTCTGTTTAACTGACATGTTTGTTTATCCTTCATTCTCAATCGTAACTTGTGTTCAGTACGCTAGTCCAAAAATAGTCATGGTCTTTCAGTCTCACGTTCTATCACCACCGCTTGAACCGTCACGTTGGGTTATTTGAAAGGGACAACAGAATGAGTTTGGATGTGTACTCACACCATGTAATCTTCAAGAAAAGTGCTGCTTCTGCATTTGGGAGAGGTGCATGGAACTGAAAGATGCTAATGAAATAAACTTCAAGTGATAGATTAGACTAGATTAGACCTATTCTTACTACATCAGCAGCAGAGATAAATAAAAACCTAAGACTTTCACACTGGGTTTGCTATAATATTTTAGAGGACATTTTGCAGAAGACAAAAATGATAGAAGTCAAGATGGTTAAGGAGGTTTAAGTCTAAATTTATGCATAAAAATCTATCACCTCCCTAGCTAGTTCTATATTTTGTTTCCCACGCTTATTATAAATGTTTTGCTCTAGTTAACCTTAGTTCAGCATTCAGAGGGAATTTAAAGTTTTTGTGCTTTTGAAGAAGTGTAAGTAGTGGACACATGTAATTGAGATACGGGGCCCTTCAGACTGAAGGCAAGTACTTCTCAGTCAAGTCCAGTATGTGAATGTCTTTACAGTCTCAGCAGCAAAATAAAAAAATATGAGATAGGTATTAAAAAGCTCAAACATTTTGTGCGGAAGAAGGAGGAAATGAGACATCTAGGTACTTAAAGATGTCCATTCTATTTGCATGTAAGATTAGTGAGTGTTTAGAACAAATGTGGTTGTATTACAAGCTGCTCTTTTACAAATTCACATAATTCCACAGAAATTTGGGATTTTAAAAAATATTTATTATGGTGAGTCGTAGGACAAAAACAGGAGACAGAGCTCACAGTTCTCTGAGGAGATCAAGACTTAAACATGACTCAGAGACTGAAAATGGCTGTGCTTTTCACTTGTGGATCTACCTGTTGCAGATCTTCAGCACTGTGTAAGGATCTGCTAATCTGGTGTTTGAAGTACTGTCTATAATTATTTAATGTAGTTTCCCATGTGCTAAATACTATTATTATAAAGCATTGTGTAGGTGTTTGGAGAGGGTTAAAAGCCTCAGTGTAGTGCTCTGAGGATCAAGACACAGCAGGTGTGGAGCTTCATGGACCGGTAATTGGGTGGTGGGTGAGCATAAGCAGGAAACAGGCAGCACGTAGGTGTGTTGTCGATGAGGGGATAGTACAACTGCTGAGGAGGTACACCGGAATAGAGACAAAGGGAACTTGATTTATCCCCTGAGCACCACTATTAACTTGCCCATATGCCTGGCACAGTCTTTCCCCCATCCCTTCACCCAGCCTGTGATCTTTCTGTTTCTTTTTCATTTTGTGAAAAACAAGCACTGTCCTTTCAAATGCCCTGCCTGCTGTGTCCCTCAGGAGAAGTTGTTCTTGGACTTCTTCCTCCAAGCATTGCAACTACGCAGAAAGTTACAGTCTGGGGCAAAAGATGGACAAGAATATAAAACTCCCAATGCTGTGCCAGAACAACAACAACAACAAAAAAAAAAAAAGAAAAGAAAAAAAGAATATTGACTGTTTTCTATGAAAAAGTTTGAATTTACCTCATGTATTTCCAGGATTAGCTGACATAACGGGGTCACACTGCTGGTACAAGTGATTTAGAGAACACCTATTGGCAGCTTTTCTTCTGAAAAAGCAACATCTTTAGTTTGCTTCAGTAGCAATTCTGTTGTACCTAAAGAA